TCTACATGGTCTCCCTGAAAACAAGACCAAGTTGCGACAACGAGGTCAACCCACTTCTATCAATCGAAACAAGACTGCGACCATACCAGAGGCCACAACATCTTGGTCTCCATATATACAAGTAGTTTTGCTTAACTTCCTAGACTCATTCCTTCAATTCAAAGTATTGGATGTTTGGTTGATTGCTATCGCCTCCCTAATCTTTCTCATTACACTGAATATATGAAGACCAAGCTGTTGTGGCCTCTGTTATGGTCACAGTCTCCTTTCGATTTATAGGAGTGGGTTGACCTCGTTGTCAGGGCGACTATGTAGAACGCACCTAGACCGAAACAAGACCAAGTTTCGCTTACTTGTTCGTACAGTCCCCATAACCAGCTAAGCGCTTGACATTAGACCAATCTAATCTAGTGTCCTGTTCGAGCCATGTGTTTGGTCAATTCCGGTTTTGGGAGACACAGACCTTTACAGGCAATTTTATGTTCGGATAACCTCTTATGTATGAGTCTGCAGGTCTCTCCCACATAGACACTACCAAATGAACACGAATCTTGCAACAGCCCGATCTGGAGAGCGGGTCAGAGTAATTTTGAACAGAAGGCAATACCGAGGACAGCGTTATTTGCTCTTTATAACTGGTCCTGATGTTCCACTTCCTCAGCAATTCGCTCATCTTCTTCGACAGATTACACGATGGCATTCTAACGATCCCGGTAGTGTTTTAGCCCTATTATCCAGTCCCAAATATGCATTTTCCTCCATCCTATTTGACCAGAATTCTCATTATTCTCCTCAGCTCCTGGTTCTAATGTTTAAGATCTGCCAGACGCATGCTCCTTATTATCATAGACTTCATAACGGCTACTTTAACCCCATAGGTGTGTTTGGAGAAGAAATGCAAAAGGAAACCTGCATTTGTGGATTTCATATACACATCTCTACCTAATCTGGTTCCCTCTTTGCTAACAAAGACATCAAGAAAAGGTAAACCACCTTCCTTTTCTAACTCGATGAATTTCGTCTTCCCATCGATCCTGTTCATCAAACAACGAAAATTCTTCATGTTTTCTTTGCC